GCTTCTTGGTTTGCTCAGGTGGGACAGACCTTGCAGATGGCAGTGGTACAGACAGCGTACGCCAACGGGAGTTCCACACACTACCTCGAGCAAACACTGAAGGTATTCTCCTTTTTTTTTTTTGTTAGTTTTCTCCAAATATTGCTTACTGCAAATTTGTTTACTTTTAAAATAAATGCTACGGTAATATGATTGGCAGGAAAACTTCAACTAGGCTAAAATAAATGAGTCTTTCAAACCTTGCAGTAGCAAGTAAATTCTTGGTGGTAAAGGTGGCAAACAAGCAGAGCTGAAGAAGTTTTAGTCAGCTTTTACTAGTTTAAAAAATATTTGGCAAAAACTAAACAAAATTCCTTGTTAGTTCTGGAACAAGTTGTGGACTTTATGGCTTTATAAGGAAGTGAGTCTTCTCCAACAGGGTAAATGTTGTTCACTGCAGAAATCAAGGTAAGGTATTGGTTCAACAAAAATCTGCTGTGTTCCCTCAAGTCATAAAATGAATTGCGTTTTTTTGGGGTTGGGGTTTTATTTTAAAAAATAAAAGTAAAAAAAAATAATCAGGCTTTACTTCCAGTTGAATAATTGAAATCTTTTGAATTGGATCTGTAGAAACAGGGGACAACTGCAGCTCTGGGGAGGTTGGTGTGTAACAGCCCGGGCTGGGGCTCAGCTCCTGGCACTTCTCCTGCAGTTCCTGTCCTTGGAGGAGTCTCTAACCCTGATGTTCTCTGCATCTCCTTGTGCTGCAGGTACCCGTGCACTGCGTCAAAACCGGAGTCAAACACTTGCACCACAAGGCCCAGGAGTTTGATGTGGGTGTTTATTTTGAGGCAAACGGACACGGTACGGTGAGTACGAGCACGTAAGGTGTCAGATCAGCTGATACCTACAAAGGTTTAGGTGGATTAGCTGGAGAAGAAGGTCTTTCACGTCCTGATTATCCTGTTTTTATCGTAGTATCGCCACCAACTCCTCTGTGTTTTATCTGGGGATGGGAATTCCCAGTAACAAACATTAATCGTGGTTATTTGGGCTTAAATGGTAGCTTTTTTCCCTCATTGCTGCGCCCATCCTAGTTTGTGATGTGGGCTGCTCTTGACAAACTTCTCTTCTTTATTCTAGGTATTATTTAGCAAAGCTGCTGAAACTAAAATAAGACAACTGGCAAAAGAGGAGGAGGATGATGAAAAAAGAGAAGCAGCAAAAGTTCTTGAAAACATGATTGACCTGATTAATCAGGTAAAAGCTGTGAGAAACAAATCACTCTCTTGGTGATCATGGGGCTAACCCTGTTTGTGAGTACATCCCAGTAACAAACATTAATCGTGGTTATTTGGGCTTAAATGGTAGCTTTTTTCCCTCATTGCTGCGCCCATCCTAGTTTGTGATGTGGGCTGCTCTTGACAAACTTCTCTTCTTTATTCTAGGTATTATTTAGCAAAGCTGCTGAAGCTAAAATAAGACAACTGGCAAAAGAGGAGGAAGATGATGAAAAAAGAGAAGCAGCAAAAGTTCTTGAAAACATGATTGACCTGATCAATCAGGTAAAAGCTGTGAGAAACAGATCACTCTCTTGGTGACCATGGGGCTAACCCTGTTTGTGAGTATGGGGGGGGGGTTCCATGAGAGAGGGGGCCAAGAACAAAAGGGTAAGAACAGTAATTTTTAGAAAGATTTAAGATATTCTTATGAGTGGATGCAGAATCTGGCGCAGTCTTCTGGATTCAGGCCCCAAAGAAGGGGTGGGACAGTGTGGGAACCCAGTGATAGGATGTGACTCGTTCATGATTCACAGAGTCCCAGAATGAGCTGGGGTTGGAAGGGACCTCTGGAGATCATCCAGTCCAACCCCCTGCCAGAGCAGGGTCACCCAGAACAGGTCCCACAGGAACGTGTCCAGGTGGGTTTGGAATGTCTCCAGAGGAGACCCCACCACCTCTCTGGGCAGCCTCTGCCAGGGCTCTGCCACCCTCACAGGAAAGAAGTTCCTCCTCATGTTTAGGTGGAACTTCTTATTTACAGGTTTGTGCCTGTTCCCTCTTGTCCTGTCCCTGGGCACCACTGAAAAAAGCCTGGCCCCATCCTCCTGACACCCACCCTTGGAGTATTTATAGGCCTTGATCAGATCCCCCCTCAGCCTTCTCTTCTCCAGACTAAAAAGACCCAAGTCCCTCAGAAAGTAATTTTACCTGATGTTTTTCACTCATTTCTGTGCTGCGGGAGGCTGGGGGTGTTCCAGTGCCCATGTCCACGCAGCCCCAGGACTCCCAGGTTTGGTACAGATGTTCCTGTTGGGTAGTGCCAAATTCTTCTTCACAGGACAACCAAAACAGCATCACCCCTGGAACTGAGCAACCAACCGCCCTCAGCTGCCCCGACTGGCTGCGTTTTCATTCTCTTCAGCTGGAAGTTCACTGATAAATCACTCCTCCCTTTCCCCACTGTTGACCTCTCCAGTGTTTATTCCCCTCCCGTTGACAGACTGTGGGTGATGCCATCTCAGACATGTTGGTGATCGAAGCCATCCTGGCTCTGAAGGGGCTGACGGTGCAGCAGTGGGACGCCCTCTACACCGACCTTCCCAACCGCCTGCTGAAGGTCCAGGTGAGTTCCACCCCACACTGGCTTCGGCTGTGGGCCTCTCTTGCCTGCATGTATTTAAGTAAGCTTTTTTTTAAAACTATAATATATAATAACTTGAATATTCAAACTCTTTCTTCTTTGTCTTCTCCACTATTCAAAGCGCTCGAGCAGAACCAGCTCCCACGTGGTACCATTCTGTCAGACACAGCAAGGGAGCTGGAGCTCTGGGCTCTAAATTAACCAGGGGAGAGAGTTTTAAGTTTTCTGATCTACTGGGAGCAGCTGTGGGTTCAGTTCAGAGGCTGATCATGGAGGCACGTTCAGAACTGACCCTTTTTCCAAACCAAGCAGCTGTGTCCTACTAGGACCTTGTAGCCCCTTCCAGCACCTAAAGGGGCTCCAGGAGAGATGGGGAGGGACTCTTGATCAGGGAGTGGAGCCATAGGACAAGGGGGAATGGTTTTAAACTGAAAGGGGGGAGATTTAGATTAGATATTAGGAAGAAATTTTTGTGAGGGTGGTGAGAGCCTGGCCCAGGTTGCCCAGAGAAGCTGTGGCTGCCCCATCCCTGGAGGGGTTCAAGGCCAGGCTGGATGGGGCTTGGAGCAACCTGGGCTGGTGGGAGGTGTCCCTGCCCAGGGTAGGGGGTGGCACTGGATGATCCTTAAGGTCCCTTTCAACCTGAACCATTCTGTGATTCTTTGACTTGTTAACACACGCTGAGCAGGGATCCCAAGGTGTCGGAATTAAGCAGGAACCTCCCAAACTGAGCTCTTCTTCAGGCAACGCATCAAACCCTGAAGTTCTGTCTTACCTGTTTTACGTGACCTTTTTTAATTCCGCTCCAGCACACACACGCATCAAACCCTGAAGTTCTGTCTTACCTTTTTTAATTCTGCTCCAGCACCCAACTAACGAGCTGTTTGTGGTGCTGCAGGTGGCCGACCGGCGCGTTATCGACACAGCGGACGCGGAACGGCGGGCGGTCACACCCCCGGGGCTGCAGGAGAAGATTGATGCTCTTGTGAAGAAGTACAGACTGTCACGGGCCTTTGTGCGTCCCTCAGGAACAGAAGATGTGGTCCGGATCTACGCTGAAGCAGAGACACAGGTCAGAGCTTAAACTACTCACACCTGAAGGGGGATTTGTTTGTGTTAAACTGGGTGATGGAGGGAAAAGGATGTTTACATCCTCATCGTTTAATCACACGTGGCGGGTGCTAACTAACTTTGGAAAAAATGGAGTGATCACAAAAAGCCTCTTTGAATCTTTTACTTATAAAAAAGTGACATTCGATGATGTTTATCTTTATAAGGTAAATATTTATAAAGGCAGTTCAAGGCTAAGTGATTTTGAAAAGGAAAAAAAAAAATATCAGCCTTCTGACAAGTCATGGTTAAGAAGTTACCAAAGCAGCCCGTAACTGTGTGATTTCCTAAGAGGCAAAATAAAAAAATATAAACTGTGGCTGCTGTTAAGAGTTAGCCTGTATGTGAACATAAAGTTGACAGCAAAAGCAGTGGTCCTGCTCATCCCCCTTCTTCCTGCCAGCACGACTGTGCAGCAGCAGATCCCAGGATGACAGAGCAGCATAGGGAAGGGTCATGGTTAAGAAGTTACCAAAGCAGCCCGTAACTGTGTGATTTCCTAAGAGGCAAAATAAAAAAATATAAACTGTGGCTGCTGTTAAGAGTTAGCCTGTATGTGAACATAAAGTTGACAGCAAAAGCAGTGGTCCTGCTCATCCCCCTTCTTCCTGCCAGCACGACTGTGCAGCAGCAGATCCCAGGATGACAGAGCAGCATAGGGAAGGCAGTATTTGCAGGAAAATGCTTGTCTTAGCATCACAGCTTTGCTCTAACCATCCAACTAACTGATTTTAAAACATTCCCCAGGAGGCAGCGGATGCCCTCGCCCACGAGGTGAGCCTGGCCGTGTACCAGCTGGCTGGAGGAAGAGGAGCACCCCCCCAGCCCATATAACGACTGATGTAACTGCAGTTAAAGTGCATCACTTGACTTCTTTCTTTTAAATATGTATTTCCTTTACCATTTGCCAACGTGGACAGACCCAACCCTTCCTGAGAGCAGCAAGGATTCATCAGAACTGAGCAGAGTCTTTACCTCTGTTAGAAACTTACCTGTTAACGAGAGGCTCTTGCTGCTGAATTACACTCCTGCCCCCAGTTTGTCTCAAGTGACCTAGAGGTGACAGTTGGTGGCCTAATCATGCCCAGGAGGAATTCTGTTCCCCTCCTGCAGCGTGTTTGGTAGGTTATTGTCACCTTGTGCCTGAAGTCCAGCTCCCACCTCCTCAGCACACCTGCAGGAGCTGCTGCAGAAACTTGCCCCATCTTCACCCAGTGAAGGCAGAGATGGGCACTGGTCTTGATATTCCCTTCACCTCAGTTGAAGGGGGAAATAACATAATGAAAGAGCATTTGCAAATAATAATGTATGATTATTGCAATAATATTAATCATGAGCTACTTTTATGAAATTCAAGTTTTGCTTAGAAAGCAATTTGCTGTAATAGACTTTATAATCACTTTTAAGAGGGAAAGGACAGAGACAAGTTTGTCTTCTGTGGCCGTTACTACTCCCCAGCAGCACCAAGGGGCTGGGACACAATGGTTTAAATACACAAGTATCCTCCTCCTCCACATAGTTCAGTTCAGGGCATCTACCTCTGACAAATGTATTTTTCTTTGTATTAACTCCTGGCATAATGGCATTTTCCAGATCGCTAAATAAATAAGCACAAATTCCAATCGATTTAAAAAAAAAAAAAAAAAGGACAAAAATAAACTGGAAACAAATTGAAAAAATGTGCACCTTGTATTTTTTTTTTTTTAGGATTTTTTAAAGACAGAACTCAAGACAACAAAAACATGGACTGTAAATAGTAGGCACCATAATCAATATGAGCCACCCAATATTTAAACTTGATTCAGGCCACATCCAGAACTTTTCTCTCTTATTTACAAATATTTAACTTAAATAGAACATGAAGTATTTCATTACATACAAAGTAAGAAAAGAATACTATACAACTGGGAAAGATACAGTATCTCATTTAAATAGTTACACTACATATAAGCTGAATAGTACCAGTGTGGTTCATGTTTTTATGACGCCTTCGAGGAAATCCTTCTCGACCATTTCTTCTATCTTTTGTCTTGCTTTGCTGGAGAAGGTCTTGAGGGTCTCCATTTTTATGTCCTTACTTGGAAAGCAGTTGGGGTAAAGGACAGGGCTCCCTGAGTGTCCCACACACCTGCTCGTGACCTTGCTGTTGAAGACTTGGCTGAGCACATTGAAGAAAGGCAAAAGCTGCTCGATGCTGCGAACGGTGTAGATGGTTAAAAGCAAGTGACCTGGTTCCCAACTGAGTGTTTTCCCTGAGCTGTCCTCCTCTGGGTTTTTCTGTAAATACAGAGAAATGGGAAACAACACAGGTCAAAACGGATCAAAATCATAGAATCATAGAATGGTTAGAGTTGGAAGGGACCTGAAAGACCATCCAGTTCCAATCCCCTGCCCTGGGCAGGGACACCTCCCACCAGACCAGGTTGTTCCAAGCCCCATCCAGCCTGGCCTTGAACCCCTCCAGGGATGGGGCAGCCACAGCTTCTCTGGGCAACCTGAAAATAAAAAGACTAACGCCCAATAAAGTATTATCAGTATCTCTGATCAGTTTATCTCCTCACATTAGTGACAATAAACCCCACAGGAAGTTTAAACAGAAACGAAGCATTTTCTCTTTGAAGTTAAAGTTCAGAGTTTTCAGGGAGAACAAATGCAGCGCTGGATTTAGTAGCAAAAATAACACACACAGAGGCTTCGAGCAAACCCTTGAAGTTGTCCTCAAAGGAAGATGCTTCAGTTATTTACCATGTTTTCCCAGCAGACCTGGGCTACACACCTTCCATTCCAGGGGGGGAATTTGAAGGGAGAGAATTTCAGGAACCCCACAGTGAGGGCAGCAGCCACAGCCCAGAGGCTCCCAAGGCAGCAGGAGGACACTGCTGAGACCCTGCTTAGGGTCACCTTCAAGATCTTAAATATTTGATGGTTGGAGTCAATCTGAAAGGCCCATTCCAACCGAGACAATTCTATGATCTGCAGACTGAAGTACCTGAGCACTAACACCCAGCTGCTGATATGGTAACCTTCACTAGTTTCCCTTTTCTTCACATTGAGGGTGGCAGAGCCCTGGCAGAGGCTGCCCAGAGAGGTGGTGGAGTCTCCTTCTCTGGAGACATTCCAAACCCGCCTGGACACGTTCCTGTGGGACCTGCTCTGGGTGACCTGCTCTGGCAGGGGGTTGGACTGGATGATCTCCAGAGGTCCCTTCCAACCCTATAGCATTCTGTGATCCTGTGAACTGTCTTGCAGTTCAGGAGCCCGTGTGACATCTGTTACATAAAAAACCAATTAGGTTTAAATTAAACATGAGTGTATTTAGTATTTTAACCACCTGCTGGTTTGTCTCCCTGTCACACGTTACCATGTCAAAACCACAACACTCTACAAGTCTCAAGAAAAGGCAGGAGTTGTTGATGCCTCCTGCTTTTAATAAAACCACTAGTTTTAAAAAAATTCTCCTTTAAAAAGCTTCAACAGAGAAATGGGAAACAACACAGGTCAAAACGGATCAGAGAAATGGGAAACAACACAGGTCAAAACAGATTAAAATCATAGATTTATAGAATGGTTAGAGTTGGAAGGGACCTGAAAGACCATCCAGTTCCAATCCCCTGCCCTGGGCAGGGACACCTCCCACCAGACCAGGTTGTTCCAAGCCCCATCCAGCCTGGCCTTGAACCCCTCCAGGGATGGGGCAGCCACAGCTTCTCTGGGCAACCTGAAAATAAAAAGACTAACGCCCAATAAAGTATTATCAGTATCTCTGATCAGTTTATCTCCTCACATTAGTGACAATAAACCCCACAGGAAGTTTAAACAGAAACGAAGCATTTTCTCTTTGAAGTTAAAGTTCAGAGTTTTCAGGGAGAACAAATGCAGCGCTGGATTTAGTAGCAAAAATAACACACACAGAGGCTTCGAGCAAACCCTTGAAGTTGTCCTCAAAGGAAGATGCTTCAGTTATTTACCATGTTTTCCCAGCAGACCTGGGCTACACACCTTCCATTCCAGGGGGGGAATTTGAAGGGAGAGAATTTCAGGAACCCCACAGTGAGGGCAGCAGCCACAGCCCAGAGGCTCCCAAGGCAGCAGGAGGACACTGCTGAGACCCTGCTTAGGGTCACCTTCAAGATCTTAAATATTTGATGGTTGGAGTCAATCTGAAAGGCCCATTCCAACCGAGACAATTCTATGATCTGCAGACTGAAGTACCTGAGCACTAACACCCAGCTGCTGATATGGTAACCTTCACTAGTTTCCCTTTGGCCTTGAACACCTCCAGGGATGGGGCAGAGTTGTTGATGCCTCCTGCTTTTAATGAAACCACTAGTTTTAAAAATTTCTCCTTTAAAAAAACTTCACTCTGGATTCACAGAAGAGAGGCTTTTCAGTCCTGGGTCTCTGCCGTGCTCAGCATTACCTGGGGGGAGCCCAGGCCCCTCCAGCTCCAGCAAGGGCCACCCTTACCCCCAAAATGCTCCTCCTCCTCCTGGGCAATGAGATCCAGCCCCTCCAGGCCATTTCCTCACAGCAGAAACACCACTAACTCCTCAGAGACTTAAAACCGCAGTTAATTTGACCGAGACCAATTAGGGATTGTGTGTTTCACACCCACCGTTTGGCAAGAATTATTATTTTAATTCTATAATTATTGTGATCGTAATTCATCTTAGAACTAAGTTTTTGTAATTCATTTTGTGCAGGAAACCAATGTAAAAGTAAGTTTTTAAGTTGGTTTCCTAGGTGAAATAGATTACAAAAAGTTAGTAAATAATTTTTTCTGTTCTCTATAAAAATAAGGGCCCTGATGATTCTTTCACTTCAAAAAAAATATCTCTCAGCTTTGTCCTGTCACAAGTCTGACACCTCTCAGCTCTTACTGAGAGCTCAACACCACCCAGGGCCTCGAGGTGTTGGTGTTATCATTATGGCAAGCTTTGTTTCACAACTCAAGCATCAAAGGCCACCCTCACCTGATGCTTGGCCATCTCCATTCCCTCCAAAACCACCGTCTTAAAGTCCTCCTGTTTGTCCTGTGGAAGGAAAGAGGAGAACTTTCAGACTGCATTTCACATAGCAAAGGAATATTCTGCCGTGAAGGCCGTGCGGTTGCTGGGTTGGATGCTGTGCTTTGGCTAAAAAAAATTAAAATATATATATAAAATCGCCCGCCCCAAAGAGTCCGTGGTCCAGGAAGGGCAGACTCTGGAGCAAATGTGGCCGAGGCACTGCCCCTTTGGTTCTTCTCTTTATGGCCAGTAGTGCCAGAGAAGGTTTTGAAGCACATTTCCCTCCCACAACAGAGCCTGAGCAACCCCACTCTACACCAACCTGAAGGAAAATTAAGATCCCCTGGAACATTTTGCTCAGAAACTGGTATTTGCTAAGAAAAAACCCGCCACTACATACAGTGGAATTCTCCCCTGCGCAGAGAGGAAATGGCCTGGAAGTCTGTATCCATTCCCTGGTGTGTATCCATCCCACCATCTCACCCCTCACTACACTTCCCAGTGTGGAACTGCTGCTGGGACTGGGGGGGGGTCCAGAAATCCCAGCTTGTTTTCTATACTCTTGAAGCATCCTGTGGCAGTCCTGACTTCAGGCATCTATCCCAACACACTGTACTTACCAGCCTGGATATTTTATGCATCATGTATCATTTATAATTCACCTGGAGAGGTTATTTGGAGCGTGCCAGCTTTCTAACAGGTGTAGCACTACAGGGAACACCAGGGACAGAGGCTCTGCCTGATGAGCAGTCACTTAAATCTGATTATTCCTTTATACAGGCGAGAGGAGGAATTTAGTCTCATCTTCGCAGTTCAAAACCAGTAAAATGAAGAATGCAGATGTGCTTCAGCTACTTGTTTTATCCCCTAGAGGCGTGAGCCTTGCTCAAATAGCTCAGATCTGCCTCCAACCAACTTATCCCTAAATTTTATGCAGCCACTTGTAGCTTCTTTAGTCGGTGAAAACACTCATTAGGGATTGTAAATGTAGCAGCTACAGCAAGCAGCCAGTGTTACAGCCAGTGACAGTGGGAGGGAAACCCAAGAATGAAGCTCCAAACCTTCCTCCCACACATCTTTGGGCTTCCTCCCTCTTTCCCTGGCCCACCAGTAACCTTTCCCAGTGAGATGCTTCCCTGGAAGGGGCTCTGTCCTCACAGCAGGGGCAGCAAAAGTACCCGACAGCAACTTCCTTACTTCGTGGCAGCAGAAAGGAGCTCCCTGGCCAGTTTCCACCAGTTTCATTAGCAGATCAGGCCTCCACTCCACCCAAACGAGGGTTTTAATATACCTCAGGCACCAAAATAATGATGGCCCTAATTCTGCTCCCGCTCTACAAACCCAGAAATGTTTCTTCCTGCCTTCTTCCAGTCATCACAACTGCTTCAGGGAAGAAACCCAGCCCTCCTGGGCTCTGCTGCCTCAAATTTCTTGGTTCTGTCATTTTTAAGGAATGCAATAGTTTTCTAAATATTTAAATGTCATCATTATTAACCAAAATCCTTTTCTACTTCAAATTGTAGTTAAGTTATACTGGTATTCACATCTGCCTCAAATTTCTTGGTTCTGTCATTTTTTAGGAACGCAACAGTTTTCTAAATATTTAGATGTCATCATTATTAACCAAAATGCTTTTCTACTTCAAA